TAACTGACTACTGAAGTCCCGTACGTAGGACGGGCTAACACCTCGTATATATAAATGTGAAAGTTTGTGTGTTTGTTTGTTTGTTTTAAGTTCAATCACGCATAAACCACTGGACGGATTGGGCTGAAATTTGGCATGATGATAGCTCACATTCCCGATTAACATATAGGCATATTCTTATCTCAAAAATCCTTTCGGGCTCCGCCCCAGTGGCTCTGTAGTTCCCCATGTTAACCTTATGATAATTCACATTTAAAGGGAACTAGGTGAACCGGTGCGAATTCGCACGAATAATAAATTTGGATATTATAGCAACGTCGTTAGAAGTTGCGTCATTGTATCGACGTTGGTCTTGAGCTCAATTGTTGGCTATATTCATTCTAAGTTCTTTTTGCTGTTCAGTAGGAGTATTTTGAAGAACGGAGCTCATCATGCTGAAAACTTGCGAGTATGGATTAATATCAACGAAATGTTGAGTCAAAATGTGCATGAGTTTAGTGCTGCAAGAGCCATTAGCTTTGTTTAGCATTCTTTCTTGAACAGCGGTTTCGACGTCGTAGATATAAATTTGGGCACATGTGGGATGCTCCCCTTCTGACGGTTGTAAGGTGCCAATTGAGTGATAAATTGTGTTGTGGACCTTAAACATGAAAGGCCCTCCACCGTTATGTTCTTCAATTTTAGCTCGAGTGCTGACCATTGCGAGCGCAGAGTTGTACGATCTAATGTTCTCTTTGTAATTTCTGCTCAAATGATTTGCTCCATTTAGTAGGCTCTGGATGTAATAGCTCTCTCGGTATGGTGGTAGATTCACTTTTCCTGAAAATCCTTTGCCTCGTCCTCTTTGTTCTTCTTTAAAATTTAGCGTACCACATTTGAATGTCATCTCGCCAAGTGAATGCTGCTGAGTTCTTGTATTTTTCAGTGTAATTTTGTAAGTACACGTTGCCACTAACTGTTCCAGCTCCTCGTCTGGATTCCTTACGTTTTGCATTGCTTGCCGTATGTTGACTCGCAATAGCTCGGACCAGCAATAGCTTTGTCGTCAGGTCCTTTTGCATGTTTAAACAAAAATAAAATGTAAAACTTTTCTCCTGTCGTGTCCTATAGATAACATTTCCTTGCCGGGTTTCTAATTATTTTTCAAAACATGAAAACTGTTTACATTTCAAAACCAAACAAAACAGCTGGAATTTGTTTTTTTAACTAATGTATTTACATCTGTTTCAGAATATAATAACATTCAAATCAATCACAATGTTATCCTTATGGAAGGAACTTTGAGGGCAGCCCACGCCCTTAAAAAGATATATTTTGAAAATCTAAAGCAAGTTTGCACATCTACACACCTAAACGAACATTTTGGTATATAATATGTGGGGTTAAATCTTAAAACAAAAAAGCCTTATTGTTCACAAAGTTTCATGTAGTGTATTAAATACATAGATTAAAGAATTTAGTCAGCTGTTTCAACTAAAAAAGTTGGTTCTATGATATACAAAAGCATTAAAAAGTTATAAGATTTACCAACAGAGTGCAGCACTATTTTTTTGCATTTTTGTAAACAGCTAATTCGAACTAAGCAGCAACAAAAAACTGTGATACGCAATAATTAGAACTGTCAAAGTAGGATTGTTCACAGTTATGTTTATGTTTTAAATGTCATGAATAATTTGCAATTTTTTGTTAATTTGTAATAATTTATTTTTCTTTATTGTTTAGGTGAAGTGGTAGAACATTATGGCTATGGTAGATGTGTAATACGATAGTATACCGTCAATTTAAAGAAGCAAATTTCATCAAAATTTTTCCTCCCCCGTTGCAAAAGCAAAGCTTAAGTTTAGTATAACTGCAATAAGCATTTAAAACTTATATGCCAACCCCGTACGAAGGACGGGTACTCTGCTAGTATATATATATACAAACAAAAAATATAAACGACAGTTAAGTATTTAATGTATTTGAAGTTTGAAAATGGACTTATGTCTGAATCATGTCACTTCTATTAAAAATTATAATATTCAGGGTGCTCAGTTGTACTTATTTACTACAATAATTCAATATCAGCAGCCCTATTACGTGAACACCTAAATTAAAATATCCAGGTCTTACCATAAGTACTACGGTAATAGCTTTATGCCCTATATGGGAAATTCGCTAAAAGAGACAAAAACGTATATAAAAACAAATAATAGAAAGGAAACCCTTAATTTAATTTAAACAGAGACGAAAGTCACAAAAAGTTGAACAAAATGGAACATACTACTGTCGGGGAAAAAAGTTTAGACACTCGAGTTTGGAGCTCTACAGAAACGTAACCAACGAACTTAGAAAAACACGTAGTATATATAAATTTTCGATGTTTTATTCTACGTATTCCTGTGAAAACAAAAAATTTTTAGCTCGTTTAGGAAATTTTTTATGACAGTCGGAAGGTAAAAACTCCCTGTTTTTAGAGTACCAAAAACCATCTTATGACTTTGAAAATTCGCACAATGTAAACTAAACGGCAGAACTTTATCAAACTTTAATACAATATGGACACATATATAATGAATTAATTTGTGTAGTTTCAGAATTTTTACTCTACCCAAAATGTTTTTGTTGTAACATTTGTAAATCAACTTTTTCTCAAAAACGGCAAACGCTAGAAAAAAAGTTTAAAGCTTGTTTTGAAGGTGATTGTTTTTGTATTTGAAATATTGATACTGCTCAACCAAATTGTTACGCATGTTGCATTTATGAAACTATATTACATGTAAAAAAATTGAACCTCCAAACTAATAGTACAAATATTTGACACGATAAATTAGGCATACTAGGCACGTTGAACGACATAAATTAAAGTTTTTTGAGAAGAAATGTAGTTTTATTGGCATAAAATTCTTATTTAATTTACCTAAAATTATAATAGAGGAAAAAACTTTGATGTTTTTAAAAAAAGATTGAAAAATTATCTCCTTTAATTGTTTTTGTATTCTTTGGATGAATTTTGGAATTCAAGAGAAATCATAAATGATAGTTTAGAAAGATGATTTCATTTAATTTTGTTTTGATTATTCTTCTTAAGCTTAACATTTGTTTTGTAAAGATAATGATTGTTTTAGCGATAATTAAGGCATAATTCATCTTTATATTTATTTGACGCTATTCATTGTATAAAAATTTTTACTGTGAATAAATAAAGAGAATTTGAATTGAATTGAATGCTTGTCAAAGAGATTTATTATAGAAGAATTTAGCTCATGAACCATTTCATCGACGGAATTTAAATTTTGAATGAAGACACATTTACACATACATACATACTGAAATTAAAGTACAGTTAATTCCTATGCAAAATAAAACAAATCACCTGCCCGGCTCCACTAACAAATGCATAATAATTCCAACAATTTAAGGTTTTTTGAAAATAAATAATCTATAGAAACAAAACTCAATGACAATCAATTTAACAAAACATTTAACCATACATAACATTTATTTGTAGGCAAAGTATTCTCTGACTTGAACAAACTAAAAGTATTTTAGAATTTCTTATTTCATGCATTTACTCTTCTCTATTTAGCAATAATTAAATAATCAAAAATAAACTCTTGATGTATAAATAAGTTGTCATAATTGTTTGCAGTTATATATTCTACACTAAGATAATGAGTGAGGGGTAGAGCGAAAGATCTCCAAGACCAAGGATCAACCTTCATTCGATCGACCGGCGTGTAGCTGGTCACTTCTCTCTCTTCTCTACTCCCTTCTGAACTAATAAACCCGCTCTGGTCTAGCCAACTTATTGGTATAGTTAAACTTAGTCGTTCCTATTTTGGACATCAACTGTAAGTACTCGGCTATTAAATAAATATATATATATATATGTATATATACAATTTAACAAGTTTGGTGCTAGGTCATCCTTCTCCAATACCAACAACCTTGCTTGAATGTGAGCTCAGCCATTGCCGGGGAACGTTTTAATCGTTGCCAGCCTGTAGCTTAGAATATAAGCTTTAGTCTGGTGTACGTTGGTACTAAAATTTCCCGTAAAATCCTGTCTGGCAATACTTTTGTCCCGGTCCTGGCAATTTTCTCTTTTCGAGCCACTTTACAAAGACACTGGCTACGGATCCAGGCAGTGCTGCTACCTTTGGGTGTTTCAGTGAACTACGTCCACTCTCGGGCTAACGCAGCACAACCACCGCTGCTCTATTTTATATTCGTCAGACTGAAATATTTGAATGCCAATTGCGTTCACCGATTCAGGCCATTGGCGAGCGCCTGTTTGAAGGTATGCCACACTGAACATGTTAACTTACTATAATTATTGTACTACTCTAGTAGAGGCGAGGAAAGTCGAGATAAGACGAGGACTACGTGTGACAAGGCCTTATTAAATGATAGACTACAGTAAGTTATGAAAAGCAAAGGACAGAGTTGAACTAAAATGATTGAACCTAATGTTACAATTGACTGGTATTATTTATAATATATATAGACCTTAATTATTATATGCAGATTTACAATGGTATAATGGCTAAGGTACATAAATGCCCAATTTCCTAGCTACCGAATACGGCTATGATTTTATGCTGCAATTTTCGGCATTGACTCGAATACACAGGATTGGGTGCAGTCGTTTTCCTAGCTGCCAAATTACGCATCAATTCTATGTCCAAGCGGGCTGTGGGACATTTAGCTTTTAGATAAGAAAGTAAGTTTCAAGTCTTCCATGAATGAACATAACAGGATGGCACAAATCTTTCTTCTCTTAAATTTGCTTTGTACAGGTATATTGTCTACCACCAAACCCCTGACGCACCCCCCACTCCGTACTAAATTTTGCAGTTCTAGGAAAATGCTCATCCCGAAAAACACATATGATAAGAGTATCCAGACATATAAAACCCCGCAACCAAATTCGGCAGCGTTTTTCTGCAGCTAGGAAATTCGGCCTTTATATATATGATATAATATAAATAAGCATAATGATACATGACAGGACTTACTTCATCAAAAACCATATTTGTTCCATCGAAGCACTGAATTGAAGTGTAGGAGTTTCCAAACTGAGAAGTCATAATCTGCTGGGAAGTAACAATTGGTGAAAAAAGCTGAATGAGTACGTTGTTACTAACACCATTCTGTTCATTCTGAAATACATAGACATTTCTATCAAGACAGTGTTTTTGTAGGAAAAGGTTACAAACCCTTAAATCTTGTTGCAGTAAAATATGTCATATCCCGCCAAAACAGGATCCGAGCCCCTGGCAAGATAATGATTTGATTGGATAAACCACCTATTATAAAAACTAGTTGTAACCCACGGGCTTCACCTCGTTTGACTTCATAACTATTGATTGAGTGGTTAAGTTAAGCTGAGATAAACAAAACAGAATACAGTAATTCAAACAAACTAGTGGCTTGTAGGGACATAATTCCCTAAAAAAAGCTCAAATGTAAAACAAATTATTCTAATATTTAAACAAACTTAGAATCAAATTATCTATGTGTCAGGATATATATCCCTGTACACCATATCTTTTGTGTAAAAAACAGTTTGTTGTTTGTCTTTGTTTGCTTTTGTTGCTTGATGTTATTTACAACTAGCTGTGTGCCCGTTCTACGCACGGGGATCTTATCGTAGTCAGTTAAAACCCTTATACAGTATTAAGCACAGCAGTTGGTTTGCATACTTTCAGATAGATATAAGATGACCCGAAATTCTTTCGAAATGCTAAATGAATCAGCTTGCTATATGAAATGAAGTACTATAGACGATTTAGAATGGTAATTTATAATAAAAATTACCAAAATAGGCCACGAACCATTGATACATAAACAACGTTTAAAGTGTTTGAACAATTCATGATGGTTTGCTGAATAAATGCTTCACTAAAATGCGTTATCGTTTTCTTAGCATAAACTAACATTTTGGAATTCAGACAGAAAAAGCAAAACTTATACAGTTAAGACATCAATTAAATTGAATACGCCTGTAATAAATAAGGTGCAACACCAACAATAGCTAATTTGTAAATTACAGTGATGTGTTGGTACGTAAAAATGATTCTTGCTGCTACCAACGGTTCAAAGGAAAAGAACCAGTACCAAAAACTAACGTTTACAGTTAAGAACTATAGTACATCCGACCAATTATATGCGTTAATCAAGGTTATTGATCTCTTGGTTTTGGATTTTCTCGTAAAAGTTATCGGCAATCAAAGTTATTTCCCATTAATTGCTTTATTTGTAAACAACTCTTAATGTAAACTTATCGGTGTCAGTTTGAAAAAAAAAAACATTAGAAGGAAATGTGACTAAAATCACACAACGTTGGGTTTTTGGACGTTTGTAATTTTTTTTATTAAGTAGGTAGGCCGTGTATTATAGGGAAAAGTACCAGTATCAAGGATCGTCGTCAACAAGGTTGTTATAAATAATTGGGTAGGCGTACGTACCCAAGAGATGGGCTATGGGCCTATTGGCTGTATGGTCCAGCGATTGCATCACACGGTGAGTAGGTGAGTAGATTGCATTGACTACATATAGTCAATGGAGGAACAGAAAGTGACACATTGGAAAATCAAGTTTAGCATCATCCGTAAACCTCTGTTACAATCACCCACTGCAGTTGTAATTTTTTACTTTACACTTTACAAAACAGCCATTGAAGCGCCGTCAATGAGTGGAACCTTGTTTCTAAGCTATTGGCGACAATCACTAATAAATTTAAGTTTCCCAGCCGTATACAACACTGATTCAATGTCTTCTTTCTGGTTATCAAAACTCCAGAACAATTTTATACACAAAGAATCTCTGGTTCCTGACCTGGATGATGCCTAGTTATTTAATTTAATTTACGGTTACACTATTTTATTCCACTTGCAATTAATTAAATCCTTTATGTAAGAAAAACGTTTTTAATCTCACTTGGATGGGATTTGCCTTCAAAACGTGATCGGAAATGGTTGTGGTATTTTTAAACAACATTTGTAAACATATCAGTGACAGCTAGAAAAAATAATCTTGATCCGAACAGCTGTTCGTTATTTCATAGATGATTATGAGATAAAAATTGGACGAAAACTTGACAAAAATCGCACAAAACTGCATTTTTGAACGCCCGTAATTTTATTCACAAAGTAGTGAGGCCATATTTTAATGGCTAAAGACACTCTCGCCAATCCAGTGAATACATTAAAATGACTCGGATCTTGATAGGTACTCTCGTCTTCCTGGAGAAGATTGCGTAAAATGCCATCTTGAGTGTTACAGACAGACAGAAAGACAGACAGAAATTTGGATGAGAATTGTTTCGGCTTCTTTAATGTAAAACGTAAAAATAACCTAAAAATTTATGATTCTGAGCAATGTACAGACAAAACTCTAATTTTATTTATATAGATAAATAATTTTAATGACTACAGAGGTTTAACTCTGCTAGAGGCAGAAAACATGTTTGTGAATAAATATTGGTTTGCTAAGGTAGCTTTGGTCTTTTGGTTAGTGATAAAACTGCTTCCCTGATTGAAATATTGGAAATAGTCTTTGCTAAATTCAAATATGAAAAGACAAATAAAGGTGTGTTGAGATAAGCTTACAACCGCTAAATTAGCACCCTGACCTAGGTATTATTTCTAAGTTTATATTCCTTTTGTAAAGGGTTAACAAAATTATTGTAAAACAAAGGCATCCTATTGACCAAACATATCCCTAGATTAGTTTCTGATCAACACAAATACTTGTACGAACTTATTTCATCTTTATTCCCAGGTTGTTTTCTAAGAGTGGCCGTTGATTTTATTCCACTCCAATTAAAATATTGATTAAACATTACAATTAATCTCAAATATAAATGTTAGTAGATTTACACAAAATTTTAGAATAAATCTTTAACATATGTTTTGAAATAAAAAAATGCCCAGTAAAACAATTGATTTCAACTTTGTAGGACATAACTAAAAGTCATAATTATTATAAGTAACGTTATCCCTGGTTTTATATAGTATACAGTACATTGCGGAATTGGACTGGCAAATGAGTAATCCAAATGTAAGATTGCTTACTGGCTAATGATAAATCACGATCAGCTGTATTTAACTAAACTATTGAAGTAAACAAAAATCAGCAGTAAATGGCTTCCAATGCTAATCTTATGGAGAACGTTTTACGTTATATCTAATTTTGTGTTAAAATTTGGGGAATTTCACTATTTTTCCCGCCGTCACGGGATCGAGACCTTTAATTTGAGCCCTCTCCCGTCGTTCTGCAACTTCCCAGTCGCCCAAAATTTTGATACAAAGAATTGGCTTACGTAATTAATATATAGATAATCACACCTGATTTTAATAAGGTAATAAATTGAAAGAATAACATACAAATAAGTACAGCTGAGGTATTTTTATCATTAGGTATATGGATAAAAAATACTATATAATTATACTATATGAAGACCCAGATATAGTAGCTATTGTTAAGAGCCGAAGATTGAGGTGGGCAGGACACATAGCGAGAAGAGAAGAAAACAGTCTCCTGAAGATAGCTACAAATGGACGACCACGAGGGACCCGACCACTAGGAAGACCCAATTTTAGGCCAGACCTAGTGTTTTATCATTACTATTTTGTTGTTAGGAATAAATTGGGCCTGGTAATTATATTGATCACGGATGTCATGCTAAAATAATATTTTTTCACTAAGTTATTATTATGCAAAAAAATGCTGAACTAAAAAATGATTGTCATTTTTCCTGGAAAAGTCACATAAGTAAACACAGAAAGTCGGAAAATAACTGGATAACACTAATAACTGGATGCGAAGCAATTGTTGAAAATGTGAGGAACTGGGACTACTTCTCAATCTTATTCTATACGACAGTGCCGGGAATAATTACCTCAATTCCAGGGAATACTTCTGTTAACTGTCTGAGCCCGTTTACCTTTGGTAGGTTGTAGTTTTTCACAACTATTCAAATTTGTTTTCGAGGTTAATCAGAATAGTGTGAATTATATGTCTAGTTTGGTGATGAACGTAATCCCGTGAAAAGACTCAAATTGGCACAATCCCTCTCTAGCGGGCACTTTGACGTTTTAGAGCCACAGAAAACCCGTTTCTCATAATCGTCAGCCGATTCCGGAATTTTAACAAAATACGCGTAAACGGCGTAGCAGGTGCACAGACAAACAAAGGAAAAAGCAAGCAAAGAACGCAAGCAAAAGGTATAAACAAACTCATCCTGAAATACATTTGCCAAAGATTCAATGGATGGTGAAACATCTATCAACAATGACATATAATTCGAGAGTAGACTATGACCTATGACTATACCTTGGTGGCGAAAGATACCATGACGTTCAAATAATATAAGTACTGCGAAGCCTTAAAATGGAAAGAATAATCACCAGACATGTAATGCAATGGTGGTAAAGTGCAGCTACTACCTTTGCAGCACCTACCTAATCCTTTATGCGGTCTGGTCATGGGCAACCACTCTGAGCATAAACACTTTATGGACCCGGTGAGACATTATAATAGCTGCTTTAATATGACATCGATTGTAACGAAACAGGTTGTAGCTAAATTGTTGACTGAAGGCTGTAGGAAATTAAACAATAATTTATTAAAAATGTCAACCAATCTGAAAGTTCCCGTAGCGAAGCACGGGTATTCCGCTAGTCCATATATAACGCCCAAAGTACCCATGAACTTTTGAAAAAACTACAAGTCACCCCCCCATAAACCATATACTTAAAATGTTCGTCATGACAAGAAACCTTGTGCAAAACTATCCATTATTTCATAAATTGCCCTTTAAGGTCGTAATTCCTTTCTAAAGGCAACTATCCATATATCTTACCTTACCTTACCTCCTTGGCCATTCAAACCTAAGTTGGTTTTTGGCCTCGCCATCAAGTTGCCTCCAGTGTTTTCTGTCTGCTGCTTGGTCAAATTGATGTCCCCATGCGCTGAAGGTCTTTCCGCACCTGGTCTCCCCATCGTAGTTTGGGTCTTCCTAGTGGTCGGGTCCCTCGTGGTCGTCCATTTGTAGCTATCTTCAGGAGACTGTTTTCTTCTCTTCTCGCTATGTGTCCTGCCCACCTCAATCTTCGGCTCTTAACAATAGCTACTATATCTGGGTCTTCATATAGTA